TCCCACCGCATCAAGAGGCAATCTTCATCGTCCACTCCTTCTTTGGGCTTTCTTGGGTGGCAATTGGTGGCGAACCGGGCGTGAAATGAGTTCAAAAAGGTTGAAAGAGAACATCGGCGCCAAGGAACCATCTTTTCCACCGTCCAAATCATCCAAATTCATCGAATTTGACACATGATGGCTCCACTCAAGTCAACGCTAGCGGCTTAGGTCACGGATAGCGAGAATGTAAAGAATAAAAGCTCCAATAAGATCAATAAGATTCAATAGGACATTGGCTCGCTCAAGTCTTTTGAATGGTGGATACATGTGGATACATGCGGACCTCCGGCGCAGGCTTTTCGGCGCCCCCGCATGAGAAACGAGGACTCGGAGTCGGCAGCGGCCGCAGCGGTCTGCAACGATGTAAATAGCTGAGGGAAGGGCACGGGAAGGGCGCGGGACAAATAAACGAACTGGTCCAAGGGAATCAGAACTGTGAACTCCGGACTGCAGGGGGGGACTCTCGATCCATGTCTGTCCATTTTACCTCAACTGGACCGAAACGGGGTACCGAGGTACCAAAAGAACCACATGCAACGAAACCATGTCCTGTCCAGACTCTCTCGATCTCAGTTTCGATCCACCGCACGACCCATTTGCACATACTGGCACAAATCCGGTCGTGTTGGAAAGCTAGCAAAGCAGCCTTCAGTGGCCTGAAAGCAGGAGTTTGTGGGTGTTTTGCAGTCCTCCTTTCATATCGAACTAGACACCAACCGAACTCATTCCATTCATCTCAACCAAGGCCTTCCCCTTCAGCGCGAGCTCTTTGGCCTTGACCGCGGCACCCAAACCCCACAGGTCTGTGGGATGGAGGATGTGGGGGACCTCATGGGTGTGTGACGGGATGTTCGAGAAGGCAAAGAGTGTGTCTCATTGGTTCAGAGCCAGCTGCAAAGTTTGATGGTACCTTTGCAACAATCCTGGTGAGTTCGCGGACGATCTGTTCTCCACTGCGTTTCCTTCCCCAAAAAAAAACCTATATATATATATATCCTGCTATCAAACCTATCAAGCCTCAGTACCGGTCAGCCTGTTTGCAGGGACGAGGGAACCCGATCTGTCATGGTGTTATTCCTTCTCTAGAAGACATACCCTGCGAGTCCAAGACTAGGTTGTTTTAATTGTCTCTAGAGCCCAACAAGAACTTCCTTTACTTCAGTGAGCAACAAAAAGTCTTTAGACTTCTAGGGCATATGATCTCAGAGGTTTCCAGAGGTTTCCGGTCCAAAAACGGGTCGCAGGTCAGGTATCTAGGAAGATAGAAAGGAACACTCCTAACCCCCACAACAAAACAGTGCCAACCTCCACACTGCTAGTAGCTTTCCTAGACTCTCCTTTGAAGCTCTTCATTTCAAGTCCACCTCCAGATCTACCAACCAACCACGTGCGATGGAAGAATGACCAGCTGCTCCGGAAAATCCACAACCGAGAGGCTCTGCGAAAGGCCCGCTTCCAAGCCTTGGGAATGGTCTGAGCTGCTGACACCGAGTACCAAGGTTGGGCCAGGCGGCTTCAAGGGTCCCCTCTTGCAATCCAGGATACAGAAACAATCACATGTATACTGTATAATATAACGATTTATATCATGTATATTCTTCATCAGCCAATCCACCCATCATCTGGCGCTAAAAATTAAAATATGATATGCAGCATATCACTTTCACTGGTTGGTCTTCTGAGGACCCCACCAACAGAGCACGCTGCAAGTGCAACCGTTGATCCTTCGTGATCAACGTGAAGGCCTGGCGCGGTGTCCACCGGGGCGTCGACACCGCGGTGGAAGAAGGCGTCGACCGTGCCCAGCGGGTGTTGGATGCCCTATGCGGACTGGGCCCGACCCGAGTGCGCCAAATTAAATAGTCTCCTTACTCTTGGTACCCCAGGTTTGGTATGTAAATCCGGGATCAACGTTCGTCCACCCTCCGTGACCTTCCGTGACCTAAGAGATGGCAAGCCTCTCAGGTTCGAACCGTTGGACCGTGAAGCAACAAGGGCCTTAAGGGTGCTTCCGTATACCAATCCTGGTCTCCCAGTTCGGACCAAATCACCGTCCAGGGTCCATCGCAGCTCGCGCCCATCCTGGCACGCCCATCAGTACTCCCGGCCTTGCTCCGTGTGGTTCTTGCTCTTCGTGCCTGGTAATGGAATCGCTGCAGGCAATGGAGTTGAGGCAGCGGATCCATCAGAATTCCTCCCACAAAATTAGAATTCTGGACTTCATAACTCGTGGATGAATTCTGGGCTAAGTGTGCCACCGGGCAACCTGAAGAAACCGACCCCTGGGCCTACCCAACCCCTCGGAACCTTCTTAGAAGGGTGGGCGCTCTCCCTCTCCAGCCCTCTTCCCCCCCTCCAAGCTGCCAGAGCCTTGCGGCGCCAAAGCACGAAGTGGCGGCTCAAGAGGACCTCCTTGCCACGTGGCAAAAGGCGTCCGAAGCGCTGGCTGACTCGAAGTGGCTGGAGAGGCCTCCCCCCATCCTAACCACCTCCAGGAGTCCTCCCAGTGGGATCAAAGAACAGACCTGAACCAACAGCCGAAGACTAGACACGCGGAAGTACAGCCACAGACTCATGCAAATGCAAATCAGCTTCTTGGTCTTGTTCCTTCCCCGAGGAGCCTGGATGACAGTGCTCTGTGGTCCCTCCATTCTATGCTTCAGGGTAGAAACCGAATCCAGCAGCCTACGGAAAGCTTTTTTGACCTCAGTATCCAACCCAACGAATCTATTCAGGATCAGTCTTGTCATCGTAAGCAGCGATTGCCCTGAGTAATGTCCAACATACTTCTGAAGGGTGGGAGGGCATTTGTCTACTAGTCTGTCTCCAGATCCCAGTCACATGGTCTGGCGAGCCGCAGCCTCGGTCTCTCCCATCATGGCGCAAACGATCTGTTCCAAGTCCTGCACAAATGGGTTACTGCCAACGGCCAGTTCTTGGTGACCATCGGTGTTGGGTGGTGCTTTTTAGATACAAACAAGATAAAGTGACCACTGCAAAAGGGGTGGAAAGCGATAAGGCAAATAAGGTGAACAAGTTGGACAAATAGATGAGTGGGATGGACAGCTACATTTATGTGTGTGACCACTGTGTGTATATAAGATTAGAAGGGTGCAACACAAAGATCGTTGAGACTTCACGGGTGCAGCTGCTGAGCTTGCGGGGTCAACTCACCCTGCGACCTCCAAAATGTGTGTCGGACAGTTTCACCATGTTTCACCAACCGAACTGATGGGGTTTCAATGACCTCAGTCAGAGCGAAGTTGTGCTCAACTACCATGCCAAGTCTTACATCCTAAACATGTTGACTCTACGACAAGAGCATGAAAATGGGTCGTGCAAAAAGTATCTTGGAACATTCTTCTTATTCCGCAGAACACCCGGCGGGATGTCATAGGCTTCCCTGACTCTTAACCTCTGGAGGTTGGACCAACAAACCTTCCAAGTTTTCACGTGCAAAACCCTCTCTCTTTCGCCCCCGGGTCACCCCCCACCATTCGGACTCTTTTGGATGCCCCTCGCGTGGCGGGGCCCAGTCGCCGATCGGCTACGCGTGGTTGAGACTCATGGCTCTGCAACCACCCGATCGCCAAGGGTCGTCATCACTCCGCCGCGGTTGGGAGTCGAACTAATGGCTCCGACAGCTGCCGGGCTGTTCGTTGGGAGGTCTGGATCACCAAACGTGCGTGGATCATGGAACCCCAAATAGCCAAGATGATGCAATTCTGAGTCCTTCCAGAGGGCCTTCCACCTGCGGTCTTCATTATGAGCGAGGTTGGACTTGTGAAATCCATTGTGGATTCCAGCCAAGTATGGAACCACTCCAAACATGTGACCAGTGCAGTTCCATGAAGATCACGCCCCCACCATGCTCAGATCACGCCCCCCACCATGCTGCCTGGCACAACTTGCTCTGATGGATTGTCTATGTCATGCGTGGGCATGGGGGGAGAGGGAAAGGACAAACCCGAAACAAACACCTGTTGGAGGCTCCTGGTAGAGATGAGTCAATTGAAGACCTCTCAGGATCCGCAGGAATTTTCAAGAGTCAACTGTCAAGTTGCCTTCGTGAGGGGGAACTTTCAGGCCACCACGTGCATTCTTTTTGCACACATATAGACACAGACACAGACATACTAAGATATGCGGCCGGTGCGTTGAGATTCGCCAATCATCGCTGAAGAAAAAGACTATAGACTGGACCCTTCAGCCGCCCCCCACCTCAGCATCCCGGGTCGTTGCAACGGTCTCTGCTGCCACCCACGTCTCTGCTTGACCGAAGAAACGGGGTTTCGGCATCCACCGGGCATCCCCGGCAACCGGCCGGTGTCGATCAGGCCAGCGGAATCTAGGCGATGAAAGGCGGTGGAAACAGAAGACATCTTGGGGGGGCATCCTTTCTGAAACAAAAAAAATAATAACAAGAACATACAAGAACTCGTGATGCAGGGCAATATGGGGCAATGCAAGAGTGTCATGCTTCCTTCCCACTGTTGGAAAAACCAGTCGTGATGATACCTCCAGGTCATCCCCCCCCAAGCGGTGACTCCCCAACTCGCGCCTTGCCGCCGCAGCACGTGCTCCCGCAGCTCGGGATCCACGAAAGCACGGAAGGCCTGCGAAAGCACGTGTGGTCGCAGAGGCAGGCAAACGCGTGGGTTGGATGCGGATGATATGGCTTTTCCAATCTTTTCCAGCATAAACAGCAGATGATGAGATTAGAGCTCCTACTTCAACTTGTGCGTCATCTGCAAATGTTGGGATTCCTTTCTGGCCATACACATGTACCAACAGGTCTGGCTGGGGAGTGCGTGCTGCAGAAGTACGTAGTTCAATGTAGATACAGTACTGTAGCTATGTCCAATATGTTCATGTATGTTCCAAATATGTTCCCAATGATCCGTTGCAGCCAACAAATACCTACAACATCCTACAGCAGCATCGTACAACCATCTCTGTCACTGAGTCCTACGAACACCTCTGTCCCCGTGTCTAACGTGTCCCTTCATGTTGGACACGACCCAACCCGACCCGACTCCACCGACCCCGGCGAAACCAAACTCACCGGCACGGCCGTGACGCGTGACGTTTGCGCGCGCCTTCATGTGCTCGCCCGAGCTGGGGCCGAAGTGGGTCGCCGTGTAGCCGCTGAAGACGCCGCGCGTCTCGAACTCGTAGTACATGGCGTACCTGGCGCGCTGGCCGGCCAGCCCCGCGCGTACGTGAGCGCGTTCGAGTGGAGCAGGGGGAGTGGCGGCATGGGGGAGAGAAGAAAAAGGACAAAAACAGCGGAAGAAGTCGGAATGATCAACGTCAAAGGGATGGGTCGAGTTCGTCTCCAGCTTGCTAGTCTGCGCGTCAAAGGGATGTCGTCTCCCGGGTCTTCCAGGGGCCCTCTCAGAGGTAACCAAGTGGTGTTTTCTTCTGGGAAGCTTGGGCGTGAGAAGACTGGAATTTCCACCTGCAAGCAACGGGATTTGGAATGCTGAGACAAGTTCAGTTGCCTCTTGGGTTGGCAATGTCATTTTGCTGAGTATATTAGTGCGGTAGGGCTATCCAGGACTATCCACCACTATCCCTCCACCCCCCCTCTCCACTCTCAGGTCCCCAAAGCACCTGTCTTTCCTCCCATGGTGCTCAATGCCCCGATGCTCGCAGAAGGAGTCATAAAGCACCACCTGAGCCGCTCAAGAGCCAAAACATTTTGGAACCTCCCGCGGGACGGCGCTCTGCCCGGAATTCCAATCTCACTCACCTCATGTCCTCTGCATGGAAAACGCTCGTCTGGCAGGACTCTGCGTGGCGCAGCCTATCTGCCCATCCCACACAATGTGCTGCGACACGGGAGGTGTGTCGGAACCGGATCGCTGTGGGATGCTGTGGGTGGGGGGGGAATCTGGTTCAACCGTGTCCAATGCGCTTTCTTGTTTCTTGTCTCTTGGTTCACAGAGGCATCGTAGATCAGATTCTCCGAACCACTTCATCATAGTACCCTCAGGGGATTCCCGACCGTGTGCCCACGCGGACCCGCGCGGGACCCGCCGACCGGAGCCTCCCAGCGAAGCTTCCAAGGATCGCTACGTTCCTCCAACCCGTCGAGGCACCGAACCGAGGGGAGGATTCGCCACCACCTCAAAGCCAGGCATCAGCATGCGATGGGAGCCCGGCACATAGGCTAACCTCGCACCGGGTCGCGATGACAAACGCGGGGAGTTGAAAAAATGTGCGTCTATACAGAATACAGATTCCATGTTGTTATATTTTATATGCTCACATATGCTCACTGGTTGGGCGCTACATATATGAATTGTTGGAGGACAATTGCAATCAGTAGTTCCACCCTGAAGCCGCCAGGCTGGTAGTTTCTCAAATCACCGACCTGGGAGAAAACAGTGTGCGTGAAAAAGGATGGTCTAGAAGCCAGACCAATTTGCCAAGATGTTTTGATGTCTACTTCGATTCATAGACTGCTTGCCAATGGATAAGCCTTTGTTTATGATGTCTGGTTACTTCAATTTGCCAATTGCCAATGTTCCTTTGTTTATGATATCTATACTTTGATGATCTTTGATTCATAGGCTATTCACAGGGATTGAGATGAGAGTATCAGGATTCTTGAGCTGAAGTCGATGATGTTGGTTTGATCTCTCTTAGAACCCTGTTTTCACAACAATCCAACCGTCACTCCCCTCCAAGTGCAGGTCAAAAGGCGGGCCATTGTTGGCCTCCAACTGCGTGAGTGCCACCTTCAATGGAGCAGAATGGGACCACACAACTGGGCGACAGGAGGCTTTGAATCCCCTAGAAGTGATTTCCAATTGGCTAAATGGGCTTTATCCCCTCCACCTTTCTCCACCTTTACAGGTCTCCATGAGATGCGAAGCTTTCGAAAACTCATGCAGCTGTGGACCTCGAACCGTGGCAGAGATCATGCCTTCCGCAAGCCCAAGAGATCAGACTCCCCAGCGTTTTGCACAGTTCCAAACCATGGTTCCGATCCAACAAAGACTGACTGGTGCTCAGTAAGGAATGAGAGAATGGATCCTGAGGTATCCAGAGTGAGGGGTCATTCCCTCATTCCCTACTATATAAGTACCAGTCAGAAGAGAAGGGAGATCCTCCGTCCCCCCCGGCTCCTCTCCACATCCGCCTGGGCGGTGACCTGTGCCGCGGGCCCTGGGAAGTTGATGTCCCGGTGGTGCTTCTGCGGCTCAGAACCTGCCAGAGATGGGTCTGCAGGGCACCATCTAGAGCTCGGTTTCGGTGGAAACGGGAACCCCCCTAAAGATAATTGGCTGGCACCTCTTCAAGTGTGGTGTTTGCTGATGCAAGCTGGGGTGGGTTTGCATGTCAAATGTTCGTGTGTTGAGATGTTGTTATGCTCTCATGCTGTGTGGAAAGTGGAAACAGTCAGACTGTCACTGCCAAAAAAACAACAGCACAAGCACAAGTCAACTTCCATTGTCCCTGGTGGCTCACCAGTAACTCAATCATTTGATGAAGCAGTAACTCTTCACCTGCCCCATCCATCTCCGTCCCACCAACCACCACCACCCACCACCTCTACTAACATCTATATACTATATAATGGCGAGCACGTACTTCACCAGCCACTGGACCCAGCCAGCCTCCCCGCCCTCCACTCGCCTGGCGGCGTGCGGATCAAGGAGATGCGCCCGAAGAAGGGCCCTTCATCCGCCGCGGCGCCCACGTCGCTGCAACCCGCGGGCGGCGCCTCCAGCAAGGGCCCAGCTTTCGGACCCCATTCGGGCAGCCTCGGAGATCAAGAGACTCCAAAACCGTTTTGTTGCTGGACACTCATGGGTTCTCATGATCATTCCATCATCAAGAAAAAAAACGCTTTGACAAAATCCCATTTCAAAAGGATGCTGTAATTCCCAACGAGCAACACCAACACAAACAAATCCTATGGCAAAATTGATGGCGTGCTCCATGCAAATGAACACCATGTCCAATTCGGTAAAAGAAGATCTCTTTTTCCGTCTGTTTGGTGGCACCTTGATGCTCACAATACGGTCAATTTTAAACGAATAACATTTGTGAAATGTTGGCCTTCTCCTTGTCCCTGCCAAATCCTCATCTCGTGCGAGCAAGGCGAAAGAGCTTGTCTATTGGTATGTGAGGCACGAGAACCAGTCCAGGCTCGCTCCAGAAGTCAGCCACTGGACCAAACCCCACTGCTGCTCCTCCTGAGAACGACGCTGCACTGGTTTCGTCGCTTTTCCGCCAACGTTCCTGGAACTAGCACTCTCACTCATTTCAAATTGGAGCAGGAGCAATAGAACCTGAAAGTTGAGAGGCTGAAGGAGGCTTTGAGCCAGAGGCCATTCCACGACACACAGTGAACCATTTCGCACCAGTACCCCTTGATTGATGTGATCCCACATTGTGCCACAAATGGTGTGGTTCTGCATTTGAAGATGCCGTGGGTTTTGTTTCCCAATTCACAAGAGAACACTGCAGGTTCTTTCCCTTTTTGCTAAGACTGGCCACGCTGGCGATGTAACCAAAGAAAATGTGTTTGCATTGCCTATTCCCATGGTCGACAATGGTGTGTAGAAGAGAATCCAGATCTATATTTGAGGTCATAGTTTTCCACAAAGGGAGGGTGTGAGCTGTGGAAAAAAAAAAAAAAGCACCGACACCGATTTCTTTGTCACCAAGATAGTCGGCTCACACAGTCCTGCACTCAAAACAGTTCCCCCTCTCTGGTTTTCCACGCAGTATGTTTCAACAAGTACTCATAACATCTCACAATGCTGGTTGTCAAACCACTCCTGCGTGCGTCCCGCCGCCAGCATATTTGTCATGTAGCCAGCCACAACCTGCACAAAACCCCACAGGGGATGTATTCTTCCTCAACAAGCAGGTTCTTGCTAGTGGCCTTGGAGGACATTCGCCAACGTTGCTGGCGCTGCAGAATCCCAAAGAACCAACAACAAAGGCCTTGCGGCAAGTGCGGGGTTTCTTGCCTTCTGCATCAACAGGTGCAAGCCAGCAGTTGGCTTTCGGAGAAAGTCCCAAGGCATAGACTGTAACCAAGGAGACAATAAACAGCTGCAATACCTATGGTTCAGACTTCTAAACAGGCCCGGTTCTCCTCGCAACCTACAAGGCCATATTGACAATACGGCCTTAACCAACCTCGCACTGGCTCGCACTGAGAATCTCCCAACCTCGCTGTCCAGTCCACTCCAGTCCGACCGACCCCGCGCAACGCGGGCGCGACGGGAAAGCGCTAAGCGGCGCCTCCAAAATGAGTTCATTCTTCCTCGGTGGAAGATATGGAGAAGTTGCGGTGAGATGTTGGGAGAATTTGGATGGATGGCAAGTATCACCAAGCAAAGTGGCACCACGGTCCGATGAACGAAACACGGAAACATCTCAGCAAACCGAAACAATCCAGGTTGGTGCTTGTCTGTTTCATCTTTGAAGCCGTACGATTGAACGAGTCGGATTACCCACTGTCTGCCTTACCTTACCGTGGGTCATGTGAGATCACATCTTGCATCATGCTACCCAACGGACCCATGACCCATGACGAGGTTTCAACTCTCCTTAAGAATCCGAGCCTTCAAATGAGAACAGCTTTGCGGGTCCGGACCCCTGCGGTTCGGTGTCGGGTCCGACCCCTGCCATCAAAAGCCCATTCGGATTCTTAGGGCTGATAGACATTGATAGACATTATGTCGCAGGCAAACCGTTCGATCTATCCCAACCATAAATTACTTATCCTCTCGAACCACTTGGCCGAGACACATGGCCATGTTTCGTTCCTCCACTCACGTTTACCCCGATCCTCCAGTCTGGAGAGGAACCAGGCGTGGTTGGGGGTCATCAAGGAGGTAGGTCCGGGGGTAGGTCAAAGAGATCTCCTCTTCTCCTTGCACCCGATCCTCCAAGCTTCAATAACCAGTCGCTGGCCCAGGGTGCTGTGAAGGCCAAGTGCCCCTCCTAGGCTGGACCAGACGCTTTAGCCGACCCGACTGAAATGGTCTTTGGTGCTGTCCCGAAAATGGGTTCATTTTCCCATCAGCACTATCCTCATGGCATTTTCTGCAACCCTCTCCAACATGAGAACCATTCATGTCAACCTGCACGATCCCCTCAACCTTCCAAGTCAGGGTAGATTCCATTGCACCATGGCAAAACCAAAGCATCAGGTTCACTTGTCAGCATCCAACTTGCTGACCTTCCCCCACAAAACCGGAACCCACGCGCGAATCCGCGCCTGTCTCCTTGCGTGCCGAGCCTCCGTTCGCCCTGCTCGCAAAGGCTGCGGGATGAGACCTTCTTGCGGAAGGTCCAAAAACCTCATGCCGGGTACTTCGTCCGTTCACAAGGTCCGCTGAGATCGCTCCTGGTTCCCAAGGCCGCTGGTGATAGGGGTTGATGATGGTTGGTCCGATGGTCCGATGTTCCGATGATGCGACGCCGATCCAATGATCGATTCTCCGATGATCCGAGGGTCCCGCTGGTCCGAGCTAGCAGGAACCAGCATCATGAAAACACGCTGTTCGTGGATGTTCATCTTACAGAGATTATGACTTGACACAGGCGTCCTGCTCGTGTTTGAAGCTCTTGTCTTCGAAAGTGAATGCCAACAACATTGAAGTACACACGACCTAGCACAAGTTCCATGTTATGCAAAAACGGTTGAACACTTCTAAAGGTTTGTGTTCTTTTGAAGGAGGGCTCCTGTTTAGGGCTTTCTTCTCTTGCGAGGCTTCTTGGTGTCAGGCAGCAACCTAGTGTTCCTGCTCATTGTGAACTGTGTGCCCTTTTTTGTTTTATGTTGTATTATTTTTGCATGTGTGTAATGCTTTTGTATTTTTTTGTTGTGATTCATTAGAGTTAGCTTTAATCCAGGTCATAAACCTAGAAGATATCCCAAAATTATAAAAGTGATTAAGTCCGATCGCCGCCTCCAAAGAAGGTAGAAACATCCCCAAAAAAAAAAATCCAAACAAGGAAAACCTAGCCAACAAAAGTGTGCTACTAGTACAGAAAAAGATATGCAAGAGTAGCCACACAAAAAATGCCCCACAGAACGACTAGAAAAAACGACAGGCAAAAAAGAAGAAATGAATTTAAAAATAACGATGAACTAGAAGAAAAACATGTAAAATGTAAAACAAATATCGGTAAATGACACCAAAAAAACAGAACACTTGTCTGATGATGGCGTATTCATGAATATGAAGAAATAACTTACTAGCTTGGGTTGCTGTTTCTTCCTGTCTTTTTCGACTGGCAATGGTCAGTGGTCGGTGCCTGATGTGATTTTTTGCAGGTGTTGTTGTCTTTGCCAGACAATGCTGCTTGTGAGCATTTGAATGTGCCATGCCAAGTTGTCGGCATAGCACATGCGCCGACATAATCAAGTGCAAGAATGACTACTCTGGAACAAGCAAGAACGCGGGAACCTGATCCGGAGCTTACGCTGGTGCCCGCCAGCAAGTCAGCACCACAGCATGACCCAATGCCAACATCTTACCGTGACAATATGTGTCAGCGTGGCCCGTGCCAGCGTCTCAGCGTAAAAGCAAGTCAGCGTGACAACATATTAGTTGCACACCATATCAGCATATCAGCATGACAACACCTGAGCGCTTTAGCACGACAACGTCTTAGCACCTCAGCAGCCTGACAGCATGGTAGCACGACAAAGTACCAAAAGGTTGGAATATGGACATAAAAGCGCGCACCTTACGAGCGCGATTGACTCAAGGCATGACAACGTTTCAGCACAACGACACATCAGCACCACGCCTTGCACCATGACCATGTCAGCACAACCAGCATGTCTGCACCTCTGAAGAATTGCTTTGCTCGGAACATCCTCCAGACGAACCTCCCGAACCTCCTCCCGAACTTGTTCCAGAACTTGCTCTGGCACCTCTTCCGGAACCTGCTCCAGAACCTGCTGCGGAACTGGTTCCGAACCACAAGAAAGTTGGATAGACACCGCGTGAACACGTTTACGCGCTCAGAGCGCGTTTCAGACCAACAAACAATCCCCAGAATCCGGCGGCTTTGTGGAAATGAAGAACCCACATCTGTTAATGGTGGAAAATGACGAACCAACAAGCTCACGTCTCGCAGCCAAAGCAGCGCTTGGGCCTCTGCTTCAAGCTTCCGAATCCACTCAGCGGGCAGGAGGCTTTCGAGGACCACCTTGGGACTGCGGGACACCAGGCCGCCTGGAAGGCGGCCATCATGATGGCTGGGAATGGGCTGAATGTTGGACTGTTAGACCAAAGAAGCGATGTTGTTTTCCCTAGCAGCCCTAGCACGGAAACTTGTGGCTTAAGCGCCAAACAGAAGTCCAGATTGGCCCAAGGAGCAAAGCCATTCAGCCGCATCTTCTCTAAGGCCTCCTCTGCCATGCGCTGCTGCTCCGGCTCATCGGCATCCTGAAAGCCCGCACACGGCCTCAGCGCGGGGTTTTGGGGATTCTGTGCACTGTAGATAACGAGGTCAACAGCAGTTGGTGGTTGGCGAACAGCAGTTGAAAAGGTGTAGATCTTCTGCCAGAAATGTTTCCTCCCAAAATCTTTGAGTCCTACTTTATTCTAATTCAGTCCTCAGATATCCTCATGATAGGGTCTTTCCAGAAGAAAAGCATAGCCTTTGGCACCGAGTCTGGGCGCCTCCCGCCGCTTCCGCTGCCGGGGGGCACGACGAACTGCGCCGCGGCCGGGGAACAGCAGGGCCCATGGGTGTAGAGCTTGGGGCGACGCCTCAGGTGGTCGAGGGCATCGGTCAGAGCTTCAAGTCACACGGGTGAGGGAAATGAATTCTGCATCATTCTGCCATGCAAGTCATTCACAGCAGCAGTTTGTCGTGTAAGACTGTAGGACTGTAAGACAGTTTTCATGTAGACTATAGTAATTCTCATGGGATCTTTCAAGAGGACCATTCATGGGTTCGCACTGATCTGGGACTTCAAGCGGTGGTGGGTTGGATGATGTTGGATGGGTGGAAGTGAGACCGATTGGTGCGTTGGGGGTGGAATCGGTGGTTTGAGGAGTCTTGCGGATCTTAGGGAAATTCATCACTTGCCTGATCTAGTATGCTTGGGTGCCGTTTTCCTTCTTAAAGATTCACTTTTGCTCAATTTGGTTCGTGGCTTGTCAAACCATCGCAACAGAATTCCCAGTTCTCATCTGTGTGTGTACATGTAAAGGGTGTAAAAGGTGATGCCATGCCTCACATAACTGACAGTGGCTTGCTATGGCAAATCATAGTAACCCTGTGATAGCGAATACAAGGCCAAGCAGCCCCACTTGCATGCTCTACTTGTCAACTCCTCCAGCAAGTACAGTGTTGCATCATCCTTGCCGTGGTCTATGACCCTAACCCCTCAAGCATGACCACCACCGAACACACGGTACACTATGGCACCGAAAACCCATCGGTACGATCCGAAGTGGGCTCTTCGGTCGGTCTCTTCGTCGGGCGGCGGGCTGGTTTCATTCTCTGCGCCGCCGTCGCCAAAGGGCTTCAAGCCCAACTGCTCGGCTTCCTCCGGGGACATCGTGATGCCCACCTCGTCGCCGCGGAGGGGTCAGAATATCATTGAAAATAGAGAGATGCCCTGATGCCCAAGAGATCCTGGGATGTAAAATTAGTGAAACCCTGTAAAATCTATATCAATTTTGGTGGTTCTCCTCAGTTTGAGACAAGAAGACAGCCAGAAAATCCCTGCGTCCATCTTCAAGTCGACCCAGCCTCAAAGCCAGCTTCATTGACCACCCGCCGCAAGGTCAGCGGCGCAGCGATGCTTCTGCCACAGCCTGGACTGTCCAGCGAGATCTTGCCACCGTGCGCAAGCTGGAGCAGTGGCACCCGGGAATGAGTCCATCCAGGAAGATGTTGTTGAATCCGTAAACCCTAGGTTCTAGGCTTCCAACCACCATAAATAAAAGACATCCAGGACTTCGGGTGGTTGGCTAAGCCTAGTGTAGACAAATAATGGTGTTAGTTTGATGTGCTTTACAAGTAAAAAAAATAGTCTTGCACTTCCAGGGCAAACCAAGCTCTCCCAAACTACCTTTCGCTCCCCCGGCCCAAAAGCAACACGGTGGAACGGCGCATGGACTCTCCAGGAGTTCCAGCGCATGAGCTGGCCATGTCTATATAGCGGCCGGTATGAGCCCCGGGCCAACACCAAGACCGGAACTTTGTGGAATTTTTGGGGTTCAGTGATCGGCCCCAGTCCAAGAGCCGTCAGAAATGGATCCGTGTCAAGGGTCAGAGTGGATCAAATTGGTAGTCCTGGCGGCCTGCAGCTCTCCAGGTAGGCGCAAAGGTCCTGCGATCTGATCGTTTAGAGGAAAATCCATGCAGCCATCCACTCGTGTGGAACGTTTCTCCAACAGAAATGACTGGGAAATGGATGGAAATGGTGGGGAACAGCAACTGACAGTCAGATCGACTCTTCTTATGTCACGCCGTCCGTAGCCCGCATCATACCGTTGACGGATCAAGTGGGGAAAAACGCCCTCCACAACACACGAAAATCTTCTTACTGCCGCTTTCATGCTCAGATCCATCTCATATGTGCTGCAACAACTGAAAGATGAATCATCTTGCAAGTCAAACGCAGCTGTTTCCAACTGGGGCACCTCGGGCACCTCCGTCTACATCCCAAGTCCACAGAGAAACCATGGCATCCACCCAGCTCGTGTCCTCCCGATCGCCCTCCATGGCATCATCACGGAGCAAAAGCCTCCGTCAGTCGAGCGAACCGAGCTCACCGAGCCGCTCGGCCTGACGTGGATCCCTGGTACCCGACGTCTCGATCTATCAATCGATGGTCCTTTCCCAAACACATCCCCGCAATTCTGTGAAAACAAACGAACTCTCACTACACACCCAACACTCCCAAATCATCTCAATCCCAACCAATTCCACCCACCAAAAAGACTCGCTTCCAGTGAAAGCCCACGATCAGCAGCCAGAAGTTGCGACTCACAAAAGCCCATCAGGCTCCGACACACTTGCCGAGGTATTTCACGGATGTCCCGTGGTGGTGGTTTTCCGGGCTCTAAACATCCTTGGGGTTGTCGTTGACAGAGCCCTATGGGCATCTGTGCCGATGTCGACCACAAATACGGTTCCTCTGGTCGACCCACTTTAAAACATATTGACTTCCTCGCCCAAACATCACTGTGAAGTTGAATTCCGTTGACCCTTGAAGACAGCGAGCCCGACATAACCCTCACATTGAGCACTTTTCTACCAAAGTTCTGATCGAAGGCTCCTCTTCCTCGGAACCACTTTGCAGGACCTCTCCCCACCCTTCAGAACAGCGCGCCTGCGCAAGCCAGGCGCCACTTCCAGCCGCCTGGCGACGTTTTTCGGTGCAGACTCCAAGACTGGTCGAGACCAACGTCTGAGATGTTCCATGCTTGGAGTCTCAACCAGAAACATAGAATATCTCAGGGCTTGGTCATAGGAGATAGTCCAACCCCTGAGATATTCCATGGAGTTGGATAGGTTCTGTTTTTTTTCATTTTGGTTCGAACCCCTGAGATCTCCGACGTGGATGTGACACGGGGGGGGTCCCAGGACTTCAAGGTCCGACAAGGACTTCAAGGAAGTGCTGGAACGGGTCTCAGGCATGTCTCAAGATGTTCTGGACCAGGACTTCAAGAAAGACACCCAAGGTCTATTGGACAGGGACTCATTCAACCATGGAATTTGGACTTCTCCAAGCTTGCCAGGTGTATTCTTGTGCAAGAAAGACATGGGCTGCCAAGACACATTCAATTGTGTTGGCTAAGTGGTTGGCTAAAGGAGTGTGGATTCGCAGTTCAGTGGATTCTACATTGCACACCGGACCCCCGCGGGTCAGCATCCAGGTCAGCTGAGTCAGCCAAACGAATCCAAGTCGCGCTCCGAACGAATCCAAAGAGGTATGGCAGTGAGGTCAAATGAACAGATTCCTCTATCTTCGGGATGTCAGCCTTCCATGGTTTGGGCAAGGTTTTGATCCTCCGTATGGCATCACAGCGGCATCTTGATCATCCCCGGACGTGTTCATCGGATCTGAACCCCAAAGAAGAACGCCAGCAGGATCTGGTGGCCTTGGTTTTTTCGACTTCAAGCAGCCATAGGGTCTCGGTACATAGCCTCCATGTACCGAATGGTTCAGTGAGAGACTGGGGGCCTTAAGAATCAAAGCCCCCTCAGCATCGAAGCCTCCTCTTCTCGCCAGCCGGACTGCCCCACCGAGAGAAGAGGACCGGAGGGCTTTGCGCAGTCCGACGGCAGCGTTGAACATGGCTGGGCGGTTGTTCAGGCAGTCGTGATCACCAAGAAACGCTCACTCAGCCAGTCAGTTGTTCAGGCTGTTCATCTTCATGTTCAGGTCTTCCAGGGGGGTTCACCAGCCCACCTGTTTTCACTGCCATTTCACAGGATCGCAGCTTAGGATCCAACCCTCCACAAGCTGTGGGCCTGACACTAGCATTACAGACCATAACAGAGTACCCCCCAAAAAAAGCGTGATTGCTGCTTCGTGGGGAATCTCAGGCATGATTGTACCTTCTTGCCCTTTCTTGATCAAAGGCCTTCGTGGGATGGCCAAAGGGGTCAAAGCGTAAACTTGTCGGTGCGGTTCTCTGGTCCTTCGCCAGCCTGATGCTTGTGTTGCTGGCGCTCATTCTTCGCGTCTGTCGCGTCTGTCGCTGTCAAACAGCTGCATGGTCATGCATGGTGTCAGTCTTATCAAGTCGTAGCAAAGCCTCATTCCGAAGACATCCAGTTTCCATAGTCTGAAATCGGGATTCAGTGAAGGCTCTGCTGTAGTAAAGGCGTCCCACAATGGAACTACTCTTTCGAAAAGAAAAAAAAGCATATTGTCACAAATAAATAAGGAACCTTAGATCCAAACATCTCCTTTGGGATAGACTTTGTCAGGCGTTCCCTATAACTCTTGGCGGGTGACACGCCGGCGACGCCGAGACGGGCTGGTCCTGCACTTGGACATTCCTGAGCTCTGTCTCCACCGGAGCCGGCGTTCTGCACCCGAAAACAACAAACCGGAAGGGCTGAGGAACTTCTTGTTGCTCCATGGGAAACAGACCAAAAGATTCTGGAAAGAATCGCTCGCCCCTGTCGGGAAGTTTTGACTTTGCCTATAGAGCAATATATCACCAGAATGTCCGTTCTTTCCGGCATGGCCTTGTTGATCTCGCAGTTGGTCTCTTCGACCAGGGCTAGAAACAACTGTGGGTCTGAAAGGAGTCCCCCACCGCGCCGGCGTTTCCCTGAGTGTCTGGCCGCACAGGCCGCTTGTTGGGGTCTAAGAAGCAACGCCATCCTTGGCATCGAGAGGTAGGAGGTTGAGTTGAATGGCTCGACGTGCTATTTGCAATTGCAGGCATTCCCAAGTTCAATCACTAGGGGTGAAAACCCATGAGAATCCTGCGCCTCCGGCACAACATGACCATGACACGGAAAGCACAAAAAAAACTGCAAGAGGCATGGCCCCTGATGTGGGCGCGCGCCACCATACACTTACATGTAACCAAGCTAGTAGACCTACTGATTTGGTACGGGACGCTTCGTCGATAGGTCCTGAATGACCCTGAAACCGCTTGGGGAAGTTGACCAAATTGCTAGTGTGAACTCTCACACTTCCTCAGCGGTTTCCTTTGGCGCACCCCCACCCATGGGCCAAACCTTTATGCTTCGTTCGCGGAGAATCAGCCGAATCAGCCGCTTCCCAGAGCTCCGTCCGACTGCAGAAGAAGACCCAGGGGCTTCGCTTGGACCAGTGGGGAGGTCAAGCGAGCGCCCCTGTGGCGCTCGCTTACACCCGATGACCTGGAGCTTACCCCTCCAACGGTTCAAGCATGTAAAACAAACAACAATGACCGCCTACTCCAGAGAAATAAATATTTCAGAAGACCTTATCCCACAGAGAGATGATGTCAAGATAATTCAAGATGTATGGCAAGGTTGAACCCAACACAAACCCCCCAAATCACACCGAACACTCGCCCCTTTCCGACCAATGGGGTCCTGAGGTCCTGAGGTCCTGCACACGATCGGTTTCATCCAACGACAAGCCACGCTCCAAGATCAGCTGCAAGAGGAGCCGGTCTTTGCATCCTTCTCGGACCTTCGCCTGGCCCAGGTCTGAGCCCCAGGAGCGGAGCCGACGGTTCCGGCCCCTTCGGCCATGGAGGTGGAAGGCGGCCTATCACTAAGGTGAGCTTGTCAGAAGTGATGTGTAAGTATTGGATGATATAGTCTTTGCATGCAGGTGCAGTTTTGCTAGGGGCTTCCTAGACTGCAGCTTTGTTCAACTGGTGATACAAACACATCTCTGAAGCCTTTCCTCATCCCTCCGACTGGACACAACCGACCGACCGAATCGACCGAATCCAACGTCCGCAAGACGTCCTGCGGATCGACCACCCTGGGTCCGTCGATTCTGCTCACTGTTCGTCGAGGAAACGTCTCCCACTCACGTTCGCATGGAAGAAGATGGAAGAAGATGTTCACCCCCTGTTCGCCATATAA